AAAGTAAACAAAGCAATACAAAAAAACAAACAAAAAAACAAAACCAAGTTTTCTCTAGAACACACACACTCACACACACACACACCCTCTCCACCCAGCAATGAACAAAGCATGTTTTTTAGTTCTTAGTGTCTTCCTCCAGTTGGCATGGTTATAAATAAACACACATGGAAAGGTTAGAACTCACTATTCCCAGTTTTCTCTGCTATGTTTTGTGTTCAACGCCTTTGTCAAGAGCAGACATTTCCTTCCCTGAGACCCTCTCATGGCATATTTTCTTATTCCAGTGACCCCTCGTGGAAGGAAGTTCTCAACTCCTGTGACAGAACCTATTCGTGAGCTATTTGTTTTCTGGAATACAAATGTACCCATTTCTCAGCTCTTTCACATTTGATTCAATCAGCTAATATGTGATAAACACATAGTGTGTGGAATAACGACGGGACTACTCAAACAAATACGAAGTGTGGCAATCCAAGAGATAAACATATTAAGCATAAAGAATAGAGCAGCATCTTCTAAGCAAGACTTCCCTTTGTGTGAACATTTGTACATGCAGGATGAGGGAACAGCAGCCTCCAAAACTAAAATGAGCACCAAGACTCAGAGCTAATGGGCTTTGTCTCTGCTACGCTGTCAGGCCAGTGATTAATGAAAAAACTTGGTCACCCTGAATCCTTTACCTGGTTAGCATCAGGCATCCACATGTTTGAGAATTAGATAAAGCAATTGGGTAAGGAATGGACTTTTACTTCTCATTCAGAATAACCATTATAAAGTAATACAGCTAATCATGAGATAAATTTATTTCCAAGTGGTAGAGGAGCAGCCTGTAAACATTTTCGTAATTATCTTAATGCCAGGTACTTTCACTGCTTGTTGTTATTCTTAATTTTTGTCTTACCTTACCAGAGGACCACAGTGTTCTTGAACATTTGAGAGAAGATGGTATGTTATCTGAAAGCAGTTGCCAAGATGAGATTAAATGAATGAGGATCTAATTAGATGGGGCAGGAGACAGTGAAATTGAGTGAGTGAAGGGGAGGTCAAACAAGTCTGGCTGAATTAGGTATGAATGAAGATTGAGGGGAAGCATCTTAAACTGCTGTGCTCTCCAAGGGCTAGGTGGCTGCAGAATCCTTCAGCCAAAGCTGTCTGTTAAAGGAGTCTCCCAAGGATGGGACTACTTTAATATTGCCACATGTCCACTCATGGTCTGGTAATGGCTTGATCTGGGTGCAAATGTGGTGGTAGAACTCAGTTGCAGCTGCTGGCCTTCAGTAAATTACACTCCCTGTAGTTGGAAGTCTGTGGGGCACAGTGCACAGTCTCATGTTAGACAAAAATTGTTCTTTTGTTAGGATATAGTTCTACTGTAATAAGAGACCTCTAAATACAGTGACTTGAACAAATTAAAATTTTTTGTCTTTAAAATTGGAAGCTCAAGTTGGGTATTGGGTCCCAGGCTCCTTCTGTCTTGTTGCTCTGTATCCTAGGATTGTTATTGTTCACACAATCGGTAGTGGTCCAGTATGCATCCAGTGACTGAATAGAAGAGAGAGAGGAAGGTCCTACTTTTCCATTAATGCCCTTAGCTACAGGTTGGATACCAGCTGTCCACCATATATTACCTGCCAGAACTCAGCTGTTTAAGTTTCTTGTGGCTGCTGCAACAAATTACCATAAATTTAATAGCTTAAAACAATAGTTTTATTCTCTTGCTATTCTCTTTCACTCTCACTGAGGGAAGTCAAGGTATCAGCTGGACTGTCCTGCTAGAGACTCTAGGAGACATTCCTTTTTTTGCTGTTTCCAGCTTCTGATGGCTCCCTACATTCTTTGCCTGTAACCACATCTGACTGGTTTCTACCTCTACAGTCACATTGCTTTTTCCTGTCCAGTATGTAATCTCCCTCTGCCTCCTCCTGATAAAGGCATTTGTGTTTGCAGTTAGAGCCCACTCTAATCCAGGATAATCTCCCCACCTCCGGACCCTCAGCTCAGTTGCATCTGCAAAGATGCTGCTCCCATATATAGTAAAATTCTTACCCATCAGGGATTGAAGCCTGAATATCCTTGGAGGCCATAATCCAGTCTATGGCAGAACTCATATGGCCACATTTAGATACAAAGTTAGTTTTTGTTGGACAGCTAAGTACCTATTCTAAGTTAAAGAGTTCTATTACTCAAAATAGAAAAGGAGGATGGTTATTGGGTAGTAATATTTTTATATAGAAGTTTCAGAAGTTTGAATCTTGGGGTAAAAAACTTCCTATCATCAATTACAAATTCTGCATTTTTGTATACTTTTGAACTCCAAGAGAAGTTGGAGTAGAAGTTTATTGCTTTTTTCTGCCTACCTTTATCACCATTTTCTGTTTTTCTGGTGAGAGTATCATGATTTTCCTCTGGGCAAACACCCCCTCCTAAATGTCAGTCCTTGTAATATGTGATGAGAGAAGTCTAGACTTGTTGGTTCATATTTCCTGTTGTTTCAGGGTTGGGCCTGAGATCTCTAACAGAAGACCATGGGTCTTGTGTGGGAACCACTGGGAAAGGGAAGTCCTCTTTCTACTGGCATGGCAGAAAAGATCAACATAAACTGGAAATGCTGATAACTATCTTTACATAGAATGTGAAATCCTGCCTGAACTTGGAGGCAACCTATAAGACAAAAGGAACTAAGCAGTGTGGAGAAACGTGTTCTTGGTGACATCATTTAAGCACCTGTATCCAGCTACATTTGAACACAATATACTCCTGGACTTTTTATGTGAGCCAGTAAGTGGTCCTGCCCTACACTGCTTTCACTTGTTCTTTTGCCAATTGGATTAAGTTCTGACACTTGTAATCAAGAGGTCCATCTTTTGAAAATTTGGGTGATTTGCTAAAGGAAATACATCAAATAATAGGCAAAGTCAAGGCTGGAATTAAAGTATTCCTTTTAAGCTACTCAATTATGCTGCCTTTCCTGTATTGCACATAATGATTGTTGACCCGTTTCTTCTGATTCCGCTATAAAGTGGAAGTTCCTTAGTCACTTCAGTCAATCTTGATTTTTAAAGATGACTTTAGTTTTTATGTGATTTCCTCTCATCTGGCCTACAAGTTCCAACAGATTATCAAAGAAACATCATTGACAAATAGGATTTGTGATAACACTGAATACCATACTTTTGTTTGTTTGTTTGGATTTGTTTGAAGATGAGGAGGGAGTTGCTAAAAAGCCAACAAGAAGTGAGGAAGAGGTTGATGCCCTTTTTTATTGTTGTTTCCAGCAGATTTATAATGCAATAAAAAATTTGTTCTGCAATCATTTAGCCCATGTGGTCGATATTAGACTTCTCAGTCAAAACCGTTCATGTCTTTGAGAGGCTCTGAAGCTTTTCCTTTAAGTGAAGGATGCTGTGAAAATGTTGAACTCAACCTTCCCCCGGAATTTCTTTCAAGACTGTCCTTATGAGTAGTTCAATTTTAAGAAATTCCAGATGAATTGTGCAAACCAAGATGAAAGATGAAGCACATACACAGCTGTGCCCAAGAATTATGCAGAAGTATGCAAATTCTAACCCCAGTGATGATGGAAATGTTCACCTTATGTTGCAGTAATAACAATCACCACTCTGATCTGATGGCGAGCCAGGAGGCACAAAGGGCACCTGGAGTCAAGAATTAATAATAAGAGGGATTTTTTTTCTTCTGCTGCTGCAGAACCTCAGCTTATTTGAATGCCTTATTGTGCAGTGTAGTTTGACATGGAAACTAATATTAACAACGACATGTTCATGGCACAGATACTTATCATTGAATGTAAACCCGTTTTAAAGAATTTAGAGACTTAAACAGAGTCCTGATTTATTTTTATGAAAGCTGAATACTTGAACTTAAGAAACCTATGACTGTATGAGAAGTTACTGGTAAGTGTGGGTCTATGCTTTCTATGTTGGCAGGGAAAAAGTATAAAACTAAGGAGCTTGAGGAAATGGTGATAAGAAGGTTCCAGTACAATAGGCAAGTGCTATAAAGTGCTGGAAATAAAATAGGTGTCATTCATTGAGTCCTCACTGTATGCCAGGCACAATGAAGCTTTTAGAGTTATATCATTCCACCTTAGACTTACAGCTTAGGCAAGACATAGGTTTCCCTGAGAATTCAAAATGAGAAGAGGCAGGGCAACACTCACTCATGGAAATGAGAGTTCTTCAACCCTTTATGACAGAGGTGGGGGTTGGCACTGTGGCGTAGTGGGCAAAGCAGCGTCCTGCAGTGCAAGCATTCCATATGGGTGCCAGTTCGAGCCCCAGCTGCTCCACTTCCCATCCTGCTGCCTGTTAATGTGCCTGGGGAAGCAGTGGAAGATGGCCCAAGTCCTTGGGCCCCTGCTCCTAAGTGGGAGACCTTGAAGAAGCTCCAGATTTATGACTTTGGATTGCCCAGCTCCAGCCATAGAGGCCATCTGGGGAGTGAACCAGCAGATGGAAGATATCCCTCTTTCTCTGCCTCTGCCTCTCTGTAACTCTACCTTTCAAATAAATCTTTAAAAAAAGACAGGGATGGGGAACATCTGGCCCTCAGGCCATATAAGGCTTGGGAAATTACTTGGTCTGGCCCTGCCAGGCAACCTTAGGCATAACTCAAAATTTGGTAAATCTATAGCAGGCTAATTTTAAATTATTAATTTTATATTGCCCAGGAATGATGGTATAAATATCCAAATGGCCCATGGCAGAAAAATTTTCCTGGATAAGACACTGGTAGTCTCAAACCTCAGCCTGTGATGTTACCATGCCACAATCTAGGATAGTATATTTCTCTCTTGTCTAATCAAATTTTGGTAGACTGTGGAGTAGTTTCTTCTTTTCAAATCTTATTTTCTTTCCTTTTGATTTCCTTTAGGTTTATAAAATTAATGTTTATTTTGCAAACAGTATGTAAATGCAGTCATTTATAAAAAAAATAGAATGCCACATGGTAAGTCTGGAGGTACATCTGTTACTAACCTTATTATCTCATTGCTTTTCTGCTGGACCTCCAGGATGACTGATCTCCAGAACTCAACGTGGCCATCTTTGACACTGATTTTTCAGACTGGGAAAAGTTCGGGGAAGCTGTGCAGTGAGACTCTAACTGGGTTGTGCCTCTTTGCTTGTTGGTCTACCATCTGTGACACAATCCATTCATTTCAAAATCCAGCATTTCCATCTCCTGCTATCATGTTGACTTCCTGCCAGGAGGTGTTGAGAAAGAAGGAACGACAGGGTAGTTTCATTCCCTTTAAAGCTGAGCACTAAAAGGTGCAGGTATAATGTCTACTCACATCCCTGCTCTGCAAAGTGGGATCATATGGCTGTATCCCTCGAGTGTTGGTATATATTTTGATAGGTATATATTTTGATAAGTGTATGTTTTTGATATGTAATGTGATTAGATCCGCAGTATCCCTTCTATTGCTCTCCTTTTCTCTCTCCCTGTTTCCTTCTCTCTCTTTTCTTACTCTGTTTTTTTTTTTCAGTAATGAATTCTTCTATCCATTAGTTCGTATGTCAGTTGCCTACAGCAACCAGACCTATACCTTGCCACATTGATAGTAGGGACTTAAGTGCTTGAGCCTTTACCTGCTGCCTCTGAGGGTGTGAATTTGCAAGAAGATGAACTAAAGATGCAGTAGCCAGGACTCAAACCAGGCGTTCTAATGTGGGATTCAGGCTTCCTAGCCAGCAACTTAACCTCTGTGCCAAATATCCTTTCCAATAATAATGTCTTTGAATGGCTTCATAGACATTTTGCTTATTAAAAAATCTGACTATTGGGCATGTGTTTGGTGTAGTAATTTAGTTGCCAGTTGTCTATGTCCCTTAGTACCTGTCCTGTCCTGCCTCTAGCTCCTCATTCCAGCTTCCTGTGAGAGCAGACTCCGAGAGGCAATGGTGATGGCTCAAGGAGTTAGGCTCCTGCCACCTATGTTAGAGACCTCCATTGAGTTTCTGTCTCCTAGCTTTGTCCCTGGGCCAGCCTCAGCCATCAGAGACATGCAAGAAGTAAACCATTGTATGGGATATCTGCCAGTCTGTCTGTCTCTCCCACTCTGTCTCATGTCCTCTAAATAGTGAATAAGCTAAAATAAAATGAATATTGACTTTTTTTAAAAAAAGGAAACTTCTTTTTAGTCTATGGAGGAATCAGATTAATCCACTTATAAAAATAGTGTCCAGCATTTACAAAGCACTTTCCATGTGGCTATCAGTATACCAAAAGCTAACTGTGTAGATTTTCTCAAATAGACCTCAAAAAATATGACATCAACAACTATTCTTAATTGGTTGGTGAGAAATTTAAGACTCAGAAAAATTAAGGAACTAGCAAGGGCACCTAGTATATAACTAGCACAACGAATAAAGAAGCTAAAAAGCAGGTTTGGGTCCTTAAATCAGAGTGGAGTGGTCTCTTAAGGATAATTCCTCCTATATTGCTTGCATTAGAAAACAAGATAGGTTGGGAATGAAGAGACTTACATTCTGATCTACACCCTATACTCAGAGTGTTAGTTGTGAGTTTGTTTGCTCATGAACAAATAAGTTTTAAGTGCCTAACCCATGCAGGACCACTACAGGGAATGCTGGAAGAGTACACAGTCCTGTCCCTTGGGAATTTAGTCTTCCAAGGAGGGAAGAGGGTGTCATAGTGACTATTGTAGGTGCTGGAGAAAAATCTGTTCAAGTTCTCAAGTCTTAGTTGTGATCTGTGGTTTTCTTTATGTACAAAATCTAGTGTGAGTATTTTATTCTTAATGGTTAATACTTCTTTACCTTGGCATTTGACAGAATGGAAAATTCCCAAGACACTTCCTATGGGCTATATTAAGTGTTGAAGACAAATGCATTGGTGATTCTGCTCAAGGTACTTAATTATCACCTAAGCATTTTTTTGAAGCGTAGATGTTAGCAGATATATTTTTGAGATAGAATTGAATATGAAAATCTTCAGGTTAAAGCACACTTTTATTATTTAGTAACTTCCATTTTTATAACAGTGAAAATGGGGTTATTTAGGTTTTTGACACTGGTGATGTTCTTTAAAATGACTATGACAGTGAATTTTATTCTAAAATCATCCTTTGATACCAAAAACAGCTTTCTGTTTTGTCTGTAACATTTGAGTTACTTATCTGTCTGTAGACAGAGCAAATTATTTGATTGCTTTAACCTAGTTAAGTCAATCCCAGTCATGGTGCATCTTATGCACTGGGGAGGGGGAGTACTATTTCTGTCCTCAAGTAAGTACCCATTATGAGGTTAGCTCATCCACTTGGCCAAAATGATTTCATGAGCTTGCTCTGAACACAGTGTTACTTTGCCAGGTCAGTATCAGGCCACAGCCTGATTTTTTCTCCGGTCCAGAGGTTCTGACCAGGCCTGAAATCATATTCATAAGTTACAGACATTATAAATTGTATTCTAGATCAATGAATCTCATGCAGGAGTGGTTTTCCCCTCCAGCCAATGTTGGGCAGTGTCTGGAGGCATCTTTAGTTGTTGCAGGTGCAGTGGGGGGATGTTCCTGGCATCTTATGGGTAGAGGTCAGGGATGCTGCCAAACACCCTGCATTGCAAAGTGCAGCCCCACTACAAAGAATTAAGCCACCCCGAATGTCACACTGTTGAGTTGAGAAACTTGTTGTAGAAGGAAAGACAGCACATTCAGTTACTATTTTTTTCTTTGTTAGTATAAGTAGTCTTCCCTCAGATCCCCATAAGAATTGGTTTCACGATCCCCAGGGATCCCCCAGTCTGAGAAGATTCAAGTCCCTTATATAAAACGATGTTGTATTTGCATATATTAAACATATCCCCCATATAATTTAAATAATTTCTGGAGTACTTATAATATCTAATAAAGTGGAAAAATTATATGCACACTGTTATACTGTGTTGTCGAGAAAGCAATTAAAAAATATTCTGTACAGATTTGTTGCAGAAACATTTTTTCTGATACTTTCTATCCATATTTGGTTGATTCCATGAATACAGAATCCATGGGTATGGCAGGGTGGAGGTGGGGCTGGCCATACATTGAATATGTAAGAATATTTAAGACATTTGAATTTAAGGTTCAAGTTGCATAGTCCAGTCCACAGATATCCCATGACAGATTACATTTATGAGAATGGCTTTCCTAATTTATATAACCTGCCACGGCCTTTGGTTATGACAGGGACACCAACCCCAGAACCAGCCCTTAAGTTGATAGGGAGAAAAATTCTCCTAGACCCTCACTCTTCCTCCTCCTTTTTTGCTTTTCTTTATTGACCCTATGTCCATTTAACACAGCTCTGTCCAAAAGAATCTTCCATAGATATGAAAACTTACCTACGTGAGCTTTCTACAGTGGTAACTGCTTGCTATACAGAGCTATTACACACTTGGAATGTGCCTGGGACATCTGTGTAACTTATAACAAATAGCTACCTGTGGCTGCTGGCTACCATATTAGACAGGGCAGATTTTATGTCTTCATACTCACCTCTCTGGGTCAGATCTCTTTTCAGATCTGACATCAGGCATAAATTGTCGTAATTGTTCTCTCTTTTGCATTTTGCATCTGGATCTTTGGAGAGGGATATTTGGGCCATGAGAGGAAATATGGGGGAAGAGACTCCCATGTGATTTGGCCTCCTAAAAGATATCTATGAAAACAAACAAACAAAAAGAAAAACAGATATTTCAACTCCAAAAGTTGTACTATGAGAATTAATGGTAAAACTACTACTCAAACAGTACTCTATACTTTGTGTGTCTTTATGGGTGCAGTCTGTTGAAATCTTTACTTAGGATATACTGTTGATCTTCTGTATATAAAGATCAGGCCCAAACACTTGGGCCATCTTATGGTGTTTTTCCAGGCATATCCCCACCTCATTGTATGTACATACTCCATTGGGACAGCTAATCTTTTCTTTAAAAACATTTCAGAGATAAACTTCATTATAATTCTGGTAAAATGGCCTCAAATTTCCAATTAAAAGGGTGGAAACTAATGTCACTTTCCTAGATACCATCTAAAATTCTCCTTCCAGGAGTATTCATTTACATGCAGATAGAACATTCATTAACGTTAGTCTCATCTATTATTAAGGTAGGTTTGGTGGGATCTTAACATCTTGTTGGCAATTCAATCCTTGATTTAGGAAATTGAAACTTTAAGTCTTCTGAAAAGTCTTTTAATTCAAATATTTCATTAAGTCTGATAGCTTTACACCATCTTGTGCTGAGAAACTCATTTTAGGTTGGTAAGTAATGAGAGGACTGCCTTATATGCCTTTTTTACCTCAGCACATCTGGTACTGAGCATCCATTTGTTCAAGAAACATTGATCATTCGTATGCATGACTTTGGCGATACTTGGGTAAATGAACTAGCGTAAATGAAAGGTAAAGCTTATACCTTCTTGGGTGATATATTTAGTATACAAAAGTATAAATTTAAAAGTTACCAAATGGAAAGTATTTAGCTTAGCAGTTAAAATGCCACCGAAGATTGCATCTCATATCTGAGTGCCTAGTTTCAAATCCTGGCTCTGGCTCCAGGCTCCTGACTCCAGGTGCTTGACACTGAAGACCCTGGGAAGCAACAGTGATTGCTCAAGTCACAGTGTTCCTGTCACCCAGGTTGAGACCTGGATTGTATTCCCAGCACCTGACTTTGGTGCCCCAGCTCCACTGGAGGTATTTGGGAAGTGAACAAAAGGTGGGAGTTCTCTCTCTCTCTTTCTCTCACTCTCACTCTCGCTCTCGCTCTCATTCTTGTTCTCTCTTTCTCTGTCTCTCTATTTCTCAAATGCATTAATTTTTTAAAAGTTTACAAAAGCATGAAGAATCTAGTAGGACGACTGCTAGGCTAAAAGAATTCCAAAGAGGTGTTAGTTCATCTTAGTCTAGGAGCCAGTGATACTCACCTACAGAGAGATGATTAAGTGGAAATCTGGGGAAATAATGGCAAAAATTCACTCTAAGTAGAAGGAATGCACAGGTTTAGGAATACATGAGCAAAGTCTGGGGATTGGGAAGAGCTGAAAACACTTTCTAAGGTACAACATAGGAGGGAAATTAGTAAAAAAAAAAATTCCTCTAACATTCCTTGGAACAATTTTAAGTGTACTTCATTAAGGGCAGAGGTCCTACATGGGGAGCAGGTGCACAGTGACTCCCGTTGTTGATTTAACAGTTGACACTCGTATTTATGACATCAGTAATTACCCGAGGCTCTTGTCATGAGCTGCCAAGGCTATGGAAGCCTCTTGAGTTCACCAGCTTCGATCTTATTCAGACAAGGTCATAGTCAAAGTGGAAGTTCTCTCCTCCCTTCAGAGAAAGGTACCTCCTTCTTTGATGGCCCCGTTCTTTCTACTGGGATCTCACTCGCAGAGATCTTTCATTTAGTGTTTTGTTTTGTTTTGTTTTGTTTTTTGCCACGATGTCTTGACTTTCCATGCCTGCGAAACTCTCATGGGCTTTTTAGTCAGATCTGAATGCCTTAGGGGCTGATTCTGAGGCCAGAGTGCTGTTTAGGGCTTTTGCCATTCTATGAGTCTGCTGTGTATCCTGCTTCCCATGTAGGATCATTTTCTCCTTTTTAATTCTATCAGTTATTTGCAGACACTGGTCCCATCCATGCAATCCCCTTGACACTCAATCCCATCCCCCCGATCAACCATGAACCTAAACTCATCACTCCAACTAGTAAGATGGCATTGGCACATGCCACATTGATGGGGTTGAATTGGAATCCCCTGGCACGTCTCTAGCTCTACCATTAGGGGTAAGTCCGAGTGAGTTTGTGCCAAACTGTACATCTCCTCCCTCTCTTATTCCCACTCCCACATTCAACAGGGATCTTCTTGTGTTTTTAAGATTTATTTTTATTTATCTGAAAGGCACAGTTAGAGAGTAAGAGAGAGACAGAGACAGAGAATATCTTCTATCCACTGGTTCACTCCCCAAATGACAACAAAGGCTAGGGCTGGGCCAGGCTGGAGCCAGGAGCTTCTTCCAGGTCTCCCATGTAAGGTGCAGGGGCCCAAGCACATGGGCTATCTTCTGCTGCTTTCTGGGGTGCATTAGCAGGGAGTGGTTTGAAAGTGGAGCAAGGGGGACTAGAACCAGCATTCATCAATGAAATCTTCTAAAGCCCTGGATCTTGCCCTGCCAGAAGCCCACTGATCTCTTTCCTTTTTAAACAGAAGCAGTTTCTGTGACTTGCAACCAGATAGTATGTTGAATAAAACACAATGGGAAGGATTTGAATTATTAAGAAGTGTATACAGTATTTTTAGATCGCCTTTGACAACAAACATTAACAGATAAGTGATGAATGTACTAAATAAGAATCAGTGCATAAATAAATAACCCTTTATAGCTCTATAACTCCCCATAGTTCACCAAACACTTTGGCAGATGGTTCAGAGTCACTGTATGAAATGGGCAGTGACTATCAGTCTCCACTTAAGGTACAGATTTGTGGAGAGACTTCTCCAAATCCATGTAAGTGATATCATCACCCTGATACTTAAGACATTCTCATTGGCTCCCAATGGCCTTGCCCAGGAGCCTCCACAGGTCAAAGGTTTTAGGTCATTATGAACATCTAACTGAAAGATATTTTTGCTAGTAAGTATATAATGCACATTAAGAAGACTTCTAGTGTGTGTATACATATCCATGTGTTTTGGTGCAAGACAAACAATGCAAGAAAACTGATCTGATAATCTAGACAATATTCAGGTACAGATGCTATTATAAAAAAATCCTGGCAAAAACTTCCAAACAAAAATATTATTGGTCCTTTTAAAGAGGTGCTTAACTAGCAGTTTTCAGCTTTGATCTTGTGATCCAAGGTAAACTCAACAACTTTTCTCAAAGAACAAACATCCCAAGACCTTCAAATTAAACCTTCGGTTTCCAAAGGCTGAGCCAAGAAGTCTGACATAGTAAACCATCTTCTGCTCCATTTGCCTAATGGGCAGGGATGAAGGCCCAAGATAACCTGGCAGAACTTGAACCCATGGTTCCAGGAAGTCTAAATGAGCCACAGATTATGCTTGGCCATGGATCATTACCTCTGGCAGAGAAAATGCACAACTTCAAGCCTGTTTACATGACAGTGCTTTGTAAGATAAGGGATTAAAATCCCCTATAAGAACAGAGATTCTTCGTGTCTGCTCAGTGCAACAGGTAGGTCACTTGAAAACACTGCTGAAAAAGGCCTTTGTTTTGGAAACTCTCCAGGGGGAAGGAACAAGGGACTCACTTATCCATGACTCACCCCCACCCAACCCCCAAAAAGGAAAAGTAAATGGTGAGCAAGGTATTCTCTACTTTCCTGGTAGTAAGGTCTAGACAGAGAGTCAGCCTCACACTGCTGGTAGAAACGGTTAAGAGGCGTAATTTTCTCCTCCCTCAGGCTGTGCGGTGAGGTAGGAGAACCACAGAAAAAAGGCTCACAGCTGCTGTCCACGGCTCAGATCATCATTTCCTGTTTGTCCTTAGGCAGATTGCCTCACCAGTTTGGGGAGCCTTGATTAAGAGTGTCTCAATTTACCCATCTGAAATAATAGCTGTTTCATCAAGGATATTGTGGAGTTTAATGAAAGCCTCGGAAGGGTAATGAGATCCTCAGATAAGACCCTGTGTAAACACTAAGTGGTGTATGTCTGCATATATACACACTGCATACACACCCAGGGTAGGCCCACAAGCTGAAATCTCTGGCAAAATTCTTTCCTTCTCCTTTGAGACAGAAAGAAGGATATTCAGAAGCCGAAAGTCTGCCACAAAGGGAGAGGAAGTAGTCAAATCACAGCCAACATATATTCACTAAGCTCCTAACAAGGGCCAGGCCCTGTGTGGGGTTCTGGATACATACAGGTAAACAATACAAGCAAAATTCCAGCTTTCATATAGCTCACATTCTGGAGGAGGGTGGCAGAGAACAAAACTATGAATATATGGTAATGTAGAATACTGATGTGGGCTATGAAAGCAATGAGGCAGAGTCTGGGTGTGGAGTTGGGCGGTACGTGGCTGTTTCAGAAACAGTTCTACAATAGAAGCAGCCTGTTAGGGAGCGATAGGACAGGTGTCACTGGACAGGATGTGCTGTGCCTAAAACATTTGAACTCATACAGAGAGCACACTGGAGATGACATCCGAGATGACGATGTGACCAACTCTGTGGATCCTGTCTCTAGAGAACAACCACAACTGATGACAATCATTTTTACAAAACTGAATTCTCTGTAAATTGTCCTAATGGCATATAACAGATAAATACATATTGATTCAAAAAAGGCTACTAAATATTGCTAAGAACAGTGAATGTCTGTAGCACTTGAGCCAAGGACCGCTCTCATTTCTTCCCATCACTGGTTCAATGTGACAGACACTGCACCCTGAGCAGATGGGGCCCAGAATTTGGGACACTTTCTTCTGCAAGATCCTAGTCAAGGGCCAGGAAGTGGGAGACTCCTAGCATTTTTGAGTCCTGTGAGCTCCATGTTCAGAGGCTTAGTTCCCTACAAGACTGACTAAGAGACCAGAAGCCACATTTCTGTTCTTAGTCCCTGTCCAGAAGAAAGGTCTGCTGTGGCTAGAGCAGAGTTGAGTCTCTGCTTTTTGAGCGTTCACATCCCACTTGCTCCAGATCACATACACCCATATCTGTGTGAGCTGGAGCAGCATAGAAAATCAAGCAGACAGAGGTGACTGACCTGAAAGTGCCTTGCTCATAAAGCAGCAGTGTTAAACTCCCAGGGAAGTGGGCCACTGCCCTAACCCCAGCTGTAGAGCAATGGTGCAGTTATTTTACCAAGTGGAATGGTATTAGGGCATGATAATAGAAAGTTCTCAAGCTCTCTCCAAAGGGAATGACTTTATTTGGAGAATGTGGGAAAGAAGTTTAATCCAATAAGTACTCTCAAAAACATGGAGAATTTGATGGCAAAAGGAGACTAGGGGTAGTAACGTGAGCATGAGAGCAGTAAGCTAAACCATAAGCCAGGTAGTTATCAGAGAGAAGCAGGGAAAAAGATGCTGAAAGAGCTTAACTTGGGTTAGACTCAACCTAAAAGACTAGACCCACGTTCTACCTTGCAGAGGGTCTGAATTTATTTGTATCAAACTGCAGAGTAATTGATGCCCCAGGACATTGCCAGAAACAATAGAGCAATAAGTTGGCAATTAGTGCAGCTGAATAGCTGGATGTGAGGCAAAAAGTTCAGGGAAAGAGACAAAGAGAATCCAGGATGACTGGGCACTGCCCAAGCTTCTTAATAAAGGACAACAGGGCCGGCGCCGTGGCTCAATAGGCTAATCCTCCACCTTGCAGCGCCGGCACACCGGGTTCTAGTCCCGGTTGGGGCGCCGGATTCTGTCCCGGTTGCCCCTCTTCCAGGCCAGCTCTCTGCTATGGCCAGGGAGTGCAGTGGAGGATGGCCCAAGTCCTTGGGCCCTGCACCCCATGGGAGACCAGGAAAAGCACCTGGCTCCTGGCTCCTGCCATCGGATCAGCGCGGTGCGCCGGCTGCAGCGGCGGCCATTGGAGGGTGAACCAACGGCAAGGGAAGACCTTTCTCTCTCTGTCTCTCTCTCTCACTGTCCACTCTGCCTGTCAAAAAAAAAAAAAAAAAAAAAAAAAAAAGAAGAACAACAAAATTTACTAAATGAAAGCATGAAAAAGAGGCTATTATTGCTAATGTTATCGGAATAAAAATGCTTACAATTTATTTGGTGAACAGTTCTATGCAAATAACTTAAGTAACCCAATGAAATAGATACTTATCTAGAAAGATACAAACTATGCAGTGACTCAAGATGAAATAGGAGATCTGATTAGATCTGAAACAAGAGGCTGGATTTGTAAGTGTTAAAGTTCCTACATAAAGGCCCAGGACCAGATGGCTTCAGTGGTGACTTTTACCAAAATTTAAA